TCAACCGCGTCCTGGGCCCGGGTCGCCAAGCATCCGGATTCGGACAGCCGCGTTGTCCCCGGGGAGGGTGCAGGGCGCTTTGGGTGCTGTCAACAAGAGCCCGTTTCCTAGCAACGGCTGCTTAGGAACCGTTGCCGGAGTCGGGAGAGATTCGCGGCAGGGATGGGCAGGGAAGTTGCACAGCCCGAGTCGCCGGAGAGGGCAAAGTCCTCCCCGGGGCCTCCCTTTGACTCCGATGCTGCACCCGACCCCGTGTGGGTGTCTCTCTGCCTGTCTTTTGGGATTTCCCACAATGCCCCACCCTGTGGTTTTCAGGGGCATTGTGGGAAATCAGGAGGAGAGCATGGCTCTCGTGATGCTCAACCTGTGGACGAGCCAGGAATCCTTGTGCGGGGGGGGGGCTATCGGTCTCTGCAGAGGTGGGGTGTGTAAAACAACTTTTGTACAGGTGTGTGATACTGGCACACACAGAAAAGAGGATCCTAATTCCATCTTGACTTTCTTGCTTCCTCCTTGTGGATGCTAGGGGCTCTATGGGGGGGGCGGGGGGAGGACGTCTATCGAACGGGCATCTCTTCCGTGTGTTTCTTTTGTTTTATTTAATTTAGTTTTATTAAATTCATATACCACCCAATTTCCAGTGATGCGGGGTGGTGTTTAAATCCCCTGTTTGAGCTGACAGGCCTCTGGTTAAACTAGAATCCTGGGGAAATGAACTCCAAGGCCCAGAGCGAACCTTTGGAAAAGCACGGGGGATCGGGCGGGGCCATCCTCGCAGGACCGTCGTTCAAGTGTGCTCTCAAACAGGACCGGGGCAGTGCTGGAGGAAGGACAGGGGGGAAAAGGAACCTTAGGAAAAAGGATTGCCTCCATAGGCCCCCAATGTAAGACCTCCTTGATGTGAAAAATACTGTTATTTCAGTTTCAAAAATTGTGCATTGCTGATCTGTTCCAAAGTGCCTTTTTTCCCCCTTTTCCTGGTGAAACATAGATAGATAGATAGATAGATAGATAGATAGATAGATAGATAGATAGATAGGGATGGACAGACGGACAGACAGACAGTCAGACAGACGATGGATGGATGGATGGATGGATGGATGGATGGATGATAGATAGAGATGGATGGATGGATGGATGGATGGACGGATGGACAGACAGATGATAGATAGAGATGGATGGAGATGGATGGATGGATGGATGGATGGATGGATGGATGGATGGATGGACAGACAGATAGCTTGCAGCTGTTTTGTTTGTAAGGTGGACCATGCCCAAATTTCATCTCCCTGCCTCCCACCGGATCATTATTCACCGCTGCCTTTGTGAGTGGCAAGCACTAAACTGCAGTTCAGGCAAGGCCTTTGAAATTGTAATGACACCTTTGGATTTCGAGCCGCAGAGGAAGGCCGGGCGGAGGAGAAGGGGGGCGGGATGAGGACCGGCACATCTCAAATTGCCAGGAACAATGGTGGGCGTCAAGCATTTCCAGAGGCGATGGCAAAGGAGAATTACATGGCGCTGATGCCAAGAGAATGACAATAATGACTTTCAAAGAAAGGGTGAGTACACACACACACACAAAAGCACACTCTTTCAGTCCAGATCTACGGAGAGGGATCAGAAGAAGAAGACAGATGGGCTCTTTTCAAGGGGCCTAAGCATGCGAACGCAAGGATCCTTTAGTTTAATGGTCTGCAATGAGTTTAGGATTGGCCTGGGATTTTTTTCTAAAGGCTGGAAGCTTTAAAAAACCCAGGTTGGCTGCCTTTTTTGAAAGTAAAATGTAGAGTCAGGTTTTGATCGCCCCACCCATCCGCTCCTTGCTGTGGGACTTCCTTCCTCGGTCCCAAGAGCCCAGATCCGTGGGTTCCACTCCCAGAATTCCCCAGGCAGCCCGGCCACTGCCGAGAATCCTGGGAGGGGGAATCCGCCCATCTTGAGATGGAGAAGGCTGGATTAGACCGTGTAGGGTAAGATGTCTTCCATCCTCCCTGTTGACAGGTACCTGGAAACTCTATCTTCCTCCGTGGGCCACCTGACTGGATCTGGAGCCCCACCGTTTTTCTTTTAACGTGACAGAGAGATTGGAGAGCAGGCGCCTCCCAACGGATGCTTGCCTGACACAAATGCCTCGCAGCCACGTCTCGATGGACCTGAAGTGATATTTCACGTCTCCGTAGGAGGTGGAGATGAACTTGTAGGAATCAAAGACCTGCAATCGGCCGCGCTTCCACCTGGCCCCCAGGCTGCGTTCTCCTTCCCCCAACCAGATTTCCACATGGACATGAGGCTGCCTCTTACCTGCAAGGAAGGAGACAAAGGGAACACCTGGGCCGGCGTTTTGGCCGTTAGCAAATGCAGAAAAGCCTGGGAAGAAGTTGCATTGACCCCACGCCTTCTCCCCAGGTCTTGGTGGAAAGCTTCTTTGAAAGGCGAGACCAGGATTCAAATCTGGGGTGCTCTGTTTTCCTGCTCCAAAGTTCATGAGATGGTTGGGCCACTGAAGTAATGGCGGCCAAGATTCTTCCCAGGGATCTCTATCTATTCTTTTTATCTACAGAATGGGCCTTGTATTGTCCTATCCGGACCAGCAGAAGGATGTCATCACCATCAAGAAAATGTTTGGGATTGATCTGCAGGCGAACAAGACCGTTTGCCACTAAGCTAGGACCTGGATCTTGCCCAGTTGGATCACGGATCCAGCTACATCATTGTGTACCCCGACTAACTCCATAAATCCATACTATGACCTCCCCTCAAATCAAACCAGGAGACCTTGTGGAGTTCCAGGAATAGAATTAGTGATCTGTCTCCATAAAGGAGATGCAGACAGATGGAAGAATGGGAGGCCAAGGAAGGAAGACATTACGTTGTGAATCAAAGTAAACTCCCGAGGTGAAGATCAGATCGCCTGGCCTCAGATGGTCCTCACTGGGTAATGTAATAGGAAGAGTGTCATACTGATAGGCTTGGTTGCCGGAGCTCATGTAGAAGCCAAAATCCTCAGCCAAGTCCCGCATGACTCTCCGAATGAACCCACAGCAGTTCAGAAAAAGGGGAGATTCGTATTCCAGACCTGCAAGTGTAAAAATTAAAGGGAGTGCCAGTCACTGGAAATGTGGGCATTTGTACCATCCCGAAGTTCAGAATATCCCTGGGTTGGGTGGGTTGAAGGACAAATATTGAAAGTATCAACCATTCACGGTGGTTCCTCTCCTTAGCGAGAGGGTGAATATAAGAAATTTCTCCTCCCATCCCCTGGATCTTCAATCAACCATCCCAAAGCTAGTGTCCCAAGGTTGGCAATGCCATTCCCACCATCTTGGGGATTGGCCCTGCCAAATTTTGAGGGCACCAGCTTTGGGAAGATGGATGGAAGGGGAAAATCAAGGGAGGGAGGAATTGCTTTTATTCACCCTTTAGCCCAGGAGAAAAATAGCAGAAGTATCTTGGAGGTTAGATGGCCACTTCTGCCCCCAACGGCAGAGATGGGACGTCTACCCAACAATGCCCATATTATGGGCACCATCTTTTGCCTCTGATGCCAACGTCCCTTTGAAAAGGAAACACGGTTCTTACTTCCAGGCTGGTGATATTTCTTGGCATACGGCGTCCCAATGTAGCATCGTGCTTGCTGGAGGAACTTCATGCGAAGTTGCCACCTAACATCAGGCTGTTGCAGCCTTTGGGGCACTGTTTCTTTCCTCCTGGCCAGCCGCCTGAATTCCTCCTACAGCCAAAGGCAAGGATGGAAAAGGGAAACTGAACCGCTTTTGAAATGTGGCCTCTTCCCTGCCTCTAGTCATAGCAGCAAAGGAAGGAGGATGAGGAGGGAAGAGAAAAACGTTCAATATACCAGTTAGACATGTTTGGAGAACAGCTTGATAGAGCTGATTATTGATTATGTGCCTCTTAATAACTGTGTAGGTAGATTTTCTCTGTGAGGATCTGTCCCTAGCCTAGTCTTTTAGGTTGGACTTTTGGAGAGATTATTGATTGATTGCCAAGATGGCAGAAGGCAGGAAAGGTAAGAAATCTGAACAAAGTCCTGCTGAGGTGGTGGTTCCAGGCAGGAATTAGCAGGAAGTGGCATTTGGTGTTCTTCAACGGGGATTTAGAACGAGAACAAAAATGTTCCCTGCGATGCCCAACAGCAGGAAGAATGAGGAAGAGAATTTGGGAGTCCCTCCCTGATCCCTCCTCTCTCTTTCTGCCGTTCCTAGCTAGCCACGATCTTGGGTGGGGCCACCCTCCCCTCCCTGACATCATCCCAGATGCCATCGGGCGCCCAAGAAACGGGCTGGGGCTTGCCGGCTTGCAACGCTCCAGCCGAGAGCCAAGCTGCTTGCAAAAAGCGGATAATGGAGTCCTTTGGGGAAACGGGTAGAGCGGCCGTGCTGAGGAGCTACAGCTCCCTGCAAGGGAAGAGAAGAAAACCAGGCAGAACAGAACGGACTGACGTTGCAATAGTGCTGCGTGTAGGCACTCTGTAATCTCTCAGAAGACTAAACTGGAAATATGCAGCGGCCATCCTGACTGATATTTCCTAGCGAAGTCAAAGAGGCGTGGGAGGAAATGGTTAAAAGGGGGGGGGGGTGATGCTTTAAAACCAATCCAAGTGGCTTTCCAAAACAATTGCCCGAGATAAGCCATCAGATGACCTCTGCCTCGAAAAGGCATAGCACGAAAGGAAAATGGATGGGCCAGGAAGAGGAGGAAAATGCCTCCCTTTCATATTCCATGATTCTAACCCGTGGGAGGTGAAATGGATTTGGGGGGTTACCAGACGGGATGCGAGAAGGGGGTGGGAGGGAGAAAGAGGTGTCAGAAAGAGAGAACAAAGTGGTCCATATGAAGAAAGAAAAAGAGCAGTTGGTGTAGACAATACGAATACAAAGCAGCAGCTTATCCTAATTACTTCTTTATTCTGAATGATGAGGACTAGAACCTTGCTTGGCTCCGTCAGTTCTCGGACCAACAGCAAGATCGTCCTCTGAGCATTACTTATCATCAGCCAACCCTGGGGGAATGACAACAACATGAACTCTGATGTTTGCAAACAACGGGGGGAAAAATATTTACAGGGAAAGAACATTGCGTAGAAGTGAGGGGATGGATATCCAGCAGGTAACTCGCAGATGTTGTCAGCCCAGAAAGCTGAATTAAATAGCAAGGGTTAAAACAGGAGAGCAAGGGCAGAATGGGAATGGCGTCATTTAGAAAAGGGGCCCGGCTGGCATTCCTTAGTAAATCATTGGCACGCTCTGTTCTGATTACCACCAGGCCAACAATGATGTGCTGGAAAGGAATGAAAGGTGGGGATGGGGACGGGGCCCACGGCGGCCTCTTTTCCCTTGCTTATTAATCTCTCGATGAAAGCCCTCGGCCAAAGACCCCTGCTCGCCAACTTCACACAGGCTCTGGCGCATTCTTGGGGAAGGCAAGCCGGGCCATCTGTGCCCGCAAGGGCCTGCAGCAGAGAGCAGCTTTTAAAATGGTTTTTTGCTGCCTGCTGGGGAGAAAAACTTGCAAGCAGAATCCTGCCGCCGATCGGGGATTGGATTCCCAGCTCCGAAGCCCTGGGCTTCCTTCAGGTTCGGTGGATGGAGAGTTTCCCACAGTCCTCAGTGGTTAATAACTAATTGCCAGCCACTGTTGACTTAAAGCAGGCAGTTGGCTTGTAAATGAAATTAACCACTCTTGGAGCGTTTGCGTGGACCTCTCTCCCTGACCTCCAGTGTAACGGTGGTTTAATGTTCCTCCCTGGAGACCTGGTGTCGGTCTCCCTGTCTGGTTGTCCTTTTTCCCACAAAGAGGTGGAGCCCAAGACTTAAGGGGAAGTCACTTCACTTCTCTTCCCCTTTCCAGTTTGCAAAAGCGGCCACAATTCTTTGCAAGGCTATAGCATTCCCCAAGGAGGGAGGGTTACCTGCTGCTGGAGAATTAATTCAGGTTTTGATTTTGGCCTGGAGTGGATAAAAGAGCTTTTCCTGGGGAAGTGCTAGGGCCGAAGAGCCGAACATGCAGAAAATCAATCAGTTCAATCCTAGCGGGGTTGGGAAACATCCCGTTCGGCGGGCTATCAGAGGACACCACAGAAAACAACGGGCTGTGAATGATTTGCTGGCCTCACCCATCAAATCATGGTTTGTTTGAACAAGCCACAAGGGGTCAGCTTCCCACAGCAAGTTCCCAAAGCCACAGTTAGCAAACAAAGCACCAAAGTTCAAGGAAATGCATCTGGATCCCAGAGATGACAAAAAATGCCGCATTTTGCACGAAGCAGGGGGTGAACCCACTTAGGACAAAGCCAGAATTTGTTGGTGATGAGGCCTGGCTGATGGTTCACGGAGGCTTGTCCACTTGGAGGGGCTGGAAATGCATTTGGTTCCCGTTTGAATCCAAGTGTGCCCAAATCACATTTTCCGAGCCTGCTGGTTGAAAAAGCTCGCCAAAAATGGCACATTTAGAGGAATTGGAAAAAGGCATGGGAATATCGGCACGGGCGTGTGCAAAAACGAGTGCAAGGTTTGGAGCGGTCCTTCTGAAAAGCAAATCACAGGCCGGGGTGAAACAAGAGGAGTCGGCCTTGAGAAGTGGAACAAAACTGATTTCACACCAAGTGGATGGGACGGGCTAGCTGTGAATGCTCGCCTGGTGAACGTTCTGTGCGTTCTGCTCTTTGTGGCTCTATGCAAAAGATTAGAAAGCATATCAGTGAGGCTTCTGACGTGTACAAAGTGCATTTCCACCAACAGAGGAAGAACCTTTGGTCCTCTGAAAGCTGAGCTCCGTTCCCCAGAGCCACATAATCAGAATATATTGCTAGTGGGGACTCCTGTGTCTGTGGTCTTGATTCTGCAGCTCAGGTTGCTCAACTCCCCTGAACCTTGGGGTCATTCCCAGCCTAACAATTTTCATCAACAGCCTCCTGGTCGAGTCATATCCTTCTGTATTTGTACTCCTAGTTGTGAGTGTGAGTTGGCTGTAATTTTAATAATGATTGAAAAATGTCAGGTGTGTTTTTCTACCCCAACAGCATACACTTGGGGTCCCGATGTAACTGAACATGTTTCTCCCCCACCTCAGCTTTCTCCCATGAAAACCATGTATGAAAAAGAGCCAGTGATGCAGTAGTTAGAGTTAGATGAAGGTCAATAAGTCCCAGGTTCAGATTGCCATTTGCTCATGGTCCTCAATGGCTGACTCTGGCCAAGTCACTATCTCTTGGCCTAACCTACCCCATAGGTTTGTTGTTTTGAAGGGAAAAAGAGAGGGAACTCCCTGTGTGTTATCTGAAGCTCTGAGAGGAAAAATAGAACAATATTGTAAAAAAAAAAAAAAGAAGGTATCGACGCATGTGGGGTGGTTTGAAGTACAAATGAAATATTATGGGATGGATATGCCCAACTGCATTGGGTTAATACAATTCTGGTCAATCATCAGCTCTATTCTCCTAACAAGAAGAAAAACAGCATTTTGTTGTTGTGTGTGTGTGTGTGTGTGTGTGTGTGTAAATAAATAATTCAGAACCAAATTAGAAACCCAGTCTTTTTATTAACATCATATAAACGAGAAACAGGAGCATTTTCTGCAGAGATCTAAATAAAGAAATGGGGGAGGGGGGAGAGGGGGAGGAAGGAGAAAGCCCAGACAATTTTACAGCATTTCTATCAGGAATATAAGTCAAGGCTGACATGCTTGATTTGTACAGTCTGGGAAAGGAGAGATGATAAAATATGGTTGGGGATCTCGGTGGCACGATGTTGCAGCCATCAATATGAAACGTGGTAATTAATTGTAAGGGAAGACACAAAAAGGGATTGGCGGCTTTTAGGATCCCAAACGTTTCATCAACCTGACTGCCCGCCCTCCCAAACTGGTTGGGCCAGAGGCTTTTGTGAGTCACCTGCAGCGAGAACATCTCGTGCTCCGGGTTGGTGGAGGTTCTTTAAGGTAACTCACGGAGAGTAAATGTTAAGATTGACACCAAAGTTTGCTACAACCTATGGAGCACCTTCTCTAGAGGTTCCTATGGGTTGATGGCGGGCTGGAAACTCTGGGAATCACATGGGGCCTTTTCCAAGGTGAGTGAGTGACATACAGCATAGCTGTTGCTCAGCCTCCATGTTGTCCACCTTTCCGATTTGCGAGTGGATCTTGCAGCCTGCGGTGGACTTGGTTAGAGCTACTCCGCCTATCGGGCTTTGGGGGTGGAGCCTGGGAGTTCACTCAATGAGGGGCCTCACAAAAAGGGGCGGAGTTTCATCTGCCATGGATAGACCCTAGCAGCATTCAGGGAAGCAAAATGAACATACCTAGAGTTTGCGAGGATATGTACCATGACCCTTTTATTCCATCATCTTGAGGAGTGAAAGGTAGACTTCCATTTGGGGCTGGAACGACTCCTGTCTGAAGCCCAGAAGTGACCAGGTCCACACATCACATTAAACCAGGGTTAATTTCTAGGGTTTTAGCTTCATGTGTTACATCAGCCCACCATGTGGCTCATGCAACATGGCCTCTCACCAGCTCTGCCACCCATGATGAAGCAAGTCCCAGATTGGTAAGATGTCCAAACCCACCCATTGACCATCCATGTAAACCCGCCAACCCTTCCCAACCAGTTCTCCTCCTATAATCCCATGGAGATGCTCCTCTGGAGGGAGATCCTCAGGCCCACCCCACAACAGAGGTTGCCCCCACAAAGGGGGGAATCTCCAGCAGTTC